GCAGTCATGCATCGCCAAAGCACCCACTAGCTACCTTACATGCAGAAAACTGGCTGGTTCTTGGGATAAGGTACCCTGTACAATCCCTGAAAGGGTCTATACAGGGCCGAAATTCCCTCATTCCCTATTCAGAACTAGGGGAAAAGAAGAAGAAGAAGAAGAAGGCTCATGGCCTTCCTTAAAACCGAGACCATAAGCCCTAAAAATTTCAACTTGGAAGTGATTGCCATCGAATGTTGGGATATTCCCCCCTATACTAGCAGTCCTTAGGCCTCATAATCGGGGGTACTACAATCCCTACTAAGGACTGCTAGTATAAGGGGGGAATGTCCCTGATACCCTAAACCCTAAACCCTAAACCCTAAACCCTAAACCCTAAACCCTAAACCCTAAACCCTAAACCCTAAACCCTAAACCCTAAACCCTAAACCCTAAACCCTAAACCCTAAACCCAAATCTAATGTTTGATGCAGTTTTTGTTGGCCGCAGACTTGTCAACCTGCCACCCGCACCCAACCTATAAAAAGCCCCCGACCATGGCTTCCCTGTTAAAGTTTAGGGTTTAGGGTTTGGGGGCTGGGGATTAGGGTTTAGGGTTTAGGGTTTAGGGCTAGGGTTTACGGAGTGCGGGTTTAGGGTTTTGGGTGTTCTTAGTCAACGTGCCTGATTGAATTTTCATAGGGTTTAGGTTTCAGGGCTTAGGGTTAGAATGGGGTCATTGACAAATCGATAGTACATCACCAGTTCAACTCTCTAAACTTGGCAGGTTCATGCAGGGCTGAAAGGGTTTAGGGTTTGGGGTTCGGGGTTTTGGGTGCAAGTACGGCCTTTGCACGGAGTCGTCTTTTCAGTGACCTCCCAGAAGGGTATCCTGACTACACGCCTGGCCATCAAACCCCAAAACCCCTAAAGCCCAAAACCCTTAAACCCCTCACACCTGAAAACCCCCAAGCCTAAACCCTACACCTCAAACCCTTCGAGAACTGGCCCTTGCACCCTAAACCCAAAACTCTAAACCCTAAACCCTAAACCCTAAACCCTAAACCCTAAACCCTAAGCCCTAAACCCTAAACCCTAAACCCTAAACCCTAAACCCTAAACCCTAAACCCTAAACCCTAAACCCTAGGCCGGCTGCCGCCTCATGGCAAGAATTGAAGCACATCATGTCGGTCCAGACCTCAGAGGAGTTCCTTCCCTGGGCTTGCATCTTTAAGGACCAGCCCAAGCCTGGGGGGGGGGGGGGGGGTTTAGGGTTTAGGGTTTAGGGTTTAGGGTTTAGGGTTTAGGGTTTAGGGTTTAGGGTTTCGGGACCCCAAACCCTCTCAAGGGTTTGGCGTCTAGGGGTTTTTGGGTTCGGGACCCGAAGCCGTTAGCCGTTTGGGGTTTTAGGGCCTGGGGTTGGGGGTTTAGGTACCCTTAACCCCTGATCTGCCCTGAACATCATGCCCCAAACGGTTGAGGGTTGAGGCTTGAGTCATGTCGGGTTTAGGGCCGTTTAGGGTTTAGGGTTTCGGGTTTAGGGTTTAGGGTTTAGGGTTTAGGTTTGCTGGCTCAGGGGCGAGGCCTCCATGAATCTTCGGGCCAAGATTTGTTCGAAGCCCCCACACCCTGAAGGGTTTCGTTTTTGGGGTTTAGGGTTTAGGCTTCAGGGTTCAGGGTTCAGGGTTTAGGGTTTAGGGCTAGGGCTTTACGCTAAACTTCCTGAGACCCTCAACCCTGTGTCTACAGGCCGCCTATCCGGTGGCCCATGCAAAGGCCGACCTGCTGCTGGTAGCGTTTAGGGTTTGGGGTTTGGGGTTTGGGGTTTGGGGTTTAGGGTTTAGGGTTTAGGGTTTAGGGTTTAGGGTTTAGGGTTTAGGGTTAGGGTTTAGGGTTTAAGCAGGGTTTAGGGCTTAGGGTTTAGGGGTTGGGGATTTAGGGTTTTACGGTTTCCACACGTGTGGTCTCCTGTTTGTTTGTTTCTGGGGGGGGGGGGGGGGGGGGGGGAGGGACCTTCCTCAGAAAGCGTCCTTAGAAACGGACTCAACACTGTTTCGGTTGCTTTGGATTTAGGGTTTGCGGTTTAAGGTTGTACCTTGGACTGTTTGATTAGGGACACAATCAGCTTCGACTGTTCAAGGGAGGGAGGTGAACACACTAATTAGTACGAATTAGAGAAGGTACAACATCAGGGTTTCGGGCCGGCTTAGCAGGTTGAGGGTTACGATTTCTGTAGCATGATGGCCAGAAAAAAAACATGTCGTTATGATGCTCATGGTCATGATGATTGTCATTGGCACATATGAGGCTCAGGTGGTTTAGGGGCGTTTGAGAAGCTGGTTCAGCGTTATCGGTTTTTGCCGGGTGCATGGGCTCAGACCTGAAGATTGCGAGCGGATAGGCGATGCTCCCGGGTTCAGACTTGACCCTACGCCTAAGCCCTTAAACCCCAAAACCCTAAACCCTAAACCCGAAACCCTAAACCCTAAACCCTAAACCATCCTTCATTAGGGATTACTGGTATAGGGCCCGAGTTTTAGGGTTCATTGGTCCCCTAGGATGAGGTTCTCTGCGTTGCTGTCAGATGGGGGGGGGGGTGTGAAGGCTGGTTCCTACGCCTATATCCCCCTTGTTTTTGTTGTTTATAATTTTTGTTTGTAAGAGACCCAACAGGACATTCAACATGATTTTTTTGTTCAGGTTCTAAGGGGAGTATAGACGCGCTGTGGGGCAGACGGACACAGCATCTCGGGAATCTGCTCTACAGTCTGTAACTCAGCCTGGCCGCTGCCATGGGTACAACCTATGTTCCCCTAAACCCTAAACCCTAAAATCCCAAACCCTAAACCCTAAACCCTAAACCCGGTTTACGATGTTCGGGGTACCTTGCTGGGTTCTTTATCATAAGGGATTCTTACTATTTGGGGGTCCATATTTGGGGTCCCTTGTTTTCGTGAACTCCCACCTGTGTCTATGTTTTTGTAAGGGGTCCCTTAAGTCCGACACTCGAAGCCCCCAACCTCCAACCCCAAACTTTGGGGTTTAGGGCTTCGGGTTTATAGCCTGAACCCTAGACCTATAAACCCTAAACCCTAAGCCCTAAGCCCTAAACCCTAAACCCTAAACCCTAAACCCTAAGCCCTAAGCCCTAAACCCTAGAGCCCTGAAGAGGTCCAGGAACTCCCTGCAGCAGCGCAGCCCACCATGGCGCAGCCGATGCCGATGCCGACGATGGCAGCTCGCTACGAGGTCTGCGAAGGTTTCGGGGTTTAGGGTTTAGGGTTTAGGGTTTAGGGTTTAGGGTTTAGGGTTTAGGGTTTAGGGTTTAGGGTTTAGGGCGGTTCAGGAGTTTGAGGGGCTTTAGGGTTTGAGGTGGTGGGTTGGGGGTTTGGGGTCTGCAGGGCTTGCGGTCTGGCAGTTGGGAGGGTTTGGGCTTTGAATACGGGTTAGGATGTGGGGTCCGTAGTCGAGGGTCAGGATGTAGGGTCCAGGGTTCGTTCCGAGGTTGCATGCTCGGTTTGGGGTTTGGGCTTTGCCCGTGCGCTGGAGGCCCTTCCGCCAATGGCGCATCATATGCCGCGGCCGACGTCGACATTGACTCCGGCGGTGGGAGAGGCCTTATTGCGATCTAGGGGTTGGGGTTTAGGGCTCGGGGTGTTTGGGTTTAGGGGTTTGGGGAGCTTAGGGTGTAGGGTTTGGGGGGAAGTAGGGTTTCGGGTTTAGGGTTGGGGGGTCTTCTAGGTTGAAAAAAGTCCAGGGCCCTAGGGTTTGGGGGTCTAGGTTTGGGGGGTTTTGGGTTTGGCGGTTTCAGGGTTTTGGGGGTAGGGTTTAGCGTAGGTCGGGCATGTGGCTTGGGTCCCTGCTAGATGATGGCTTAACTTGGGGGGTGCTGCCATGATCTAGAGACCCAGCAAAAAGGACAAGGATACTAACTACAATTCTAAACCCTAAACCCTAAACCCCCAAACCCCCAAACCCCAAACCCTAGGTGCATGGACCTCTTTTGGGTTTTCGGGTTCCCAATGCTGTGATGGACGAGTGACCCCCCCCCCCCCCCAAAAAAAAAAAAACATGCGTCCACAAGGCCATGCTGCGTTTAGGGTTTAGGGTTTAGGGTTTAGGGTTAGGGTTTAGGGTTTAGGGTTTAGGGTTTAGGGTTTAGGGTTTAGGGTTTAGGGTTTAGGGTTTAGGGTTTAGGGTTCAGGCTTTAGGTTTGTTGGATCCCTGGACACCCAGACCCCAAACCTTTCGCCCCAATCTCCGCCCTACATCCTTAACCCTAAGCCCTAAACCCTATACCCAAAACCCTTAACCCTTGTAAGCCCTTAAAGGCTACGAGCCTACGCCCCTTTGTCCTTGAAGAGTTGGTGTCTTTAGGGGCGGGTTTAGGGGTCTCTTGCTCTTGAAAACTATAACCCTGAACCACTCTACCCTGCAAAGTAGGCCTACACGCCCGTATTTCCTGTTTTGAGCGTTCTACGATGTTCTACGCTCCTTATTGCTATAAGCAGGAAGGGTGCTTGTGGCTTTCTCCGTGAGCTATAGCCTAAGGACTTCATTTCGCAACTTCTAGAGATCAGGGTTTAGGAGTTGGGACGCCTTCCGCACATTCCGCCCTTGTCCCAGCTGCTTATCCATCCTCATGCCTCATGTTTAGTGGGCTCATAGGCCTCAAGGTCTCAAACGGGTTTAGAGTTTAGGGTTTTGGTGGACAGGGCGAGCCTCGGACAACCAAACTGCAAGACCCCGAAACCTAAGGTCAGACGGCTCTTGGTGCCGCCAGCTGCGTCAAAGTGTAAGATAGAAGTTCCACTTCATCCTGTGATGTTTCACTGCGGTCTTTTTTCCTCTACAGCATTGTATTCCTTGCTGTTTCGTATATTTCCTTTCTCTATGTAAAAATGCTGCGTTCTTTTTCTTTTGGTATTCTTCTGGTTCGTTGCTTAGTCCGTATACAAAACCCGACCATTCTCAACAACCAAAGCCCCGCCGAAAGCGCCCACTGCCGGCCTTGAAAGCCATGGCCGAAGCAAAGCTGCCCAATCGCGGCGTGCCCTGTCGACAAGGGGTTCCCAGGATGAGGGTTTAGGGTTCAGGGATAAGGGTTTAGGGTTTAGGGTTTCGGGTTTAGGGTTTAGAGTTTTAGTTAGCAATTGAAGCAGAGGGTGTCAAGCAGCAACCTAAAGAGAAAGCCCTGGTTTGAGAGCCTCGACTAGGACTAGCTGTAAAGAGTCCTAAGGTCCTGAGACTTCCAAAAGCCTTCTCGAACCCCCTGCTTCGCCATGGCCATGTGTCGGGTTTCACCCTAAGCCCTAAGCCCTAAACCCTAAACCCTAACTCCTAAGCCTAAACCCTAAACCCTAAACCCCAGCGTCACCACTCTGGTACAGGCGTCTGCGCAGGTGGACGTGAAAGCAAGAACCTGGCACGGCAGCTGCGTCGAACCACTTCAGCCTGTGTTTTGAGGGAGAAGCCCAGAGACTCCAAAACCCCTTAACTAAGGGTTGTACTTTAAATCAAGATAGGGTTCCTACTATAATTTAGGGGATGTTCCTGAATTAAGGATTATGCCTTAAGTCAAGATAGGGTTCCTATTCTAATCTAAGGGATGTTCCTTAATTAAGGGGTTTTTGGAGTATCTGGGCAGCCATCGGCGGAGACCGCGGAGGCGGAAGCTGCAGAGCAGCAGCAGCTTCAACTCCAGAAACCCTAAACCCCAAACCCCAAACCTAAGCCCTAAACCCTAAACCTAAACCCTAAGCCCTAAGCCCTAAGCCCTAAGCCCTAAACCCTAAACCCTAACGTGATGTCGTACCTGGGGACCAAATGAACCCTAAAATTGGGGCCATATACCCTATACTACTAGAATCCCTAAGAAGGTATATGAACCATAAACCTTTTTAAGGGTCATTTGGTCCTTAAGGTACTCGAAAGCCCGAGGTTACCTTATTCATTAGTGGGGGGTTTACGCACAATAAGGGTCCCAAATAGTAGGATCCCCTTATAAAAAGGACCCCAGCAAGTCAACAAGGCACCCCAACTATCGTAAACCCCCAAGTGCATCACGCACCGAAGCATTTGGGGTTTCTGTTTCCGAGCTTCCTCAAACCCTAAACCATAAAACCCTAAGCCCGAACCCCTCATGCTCTAACCGCCCCACCTCTAAGAGCCCTGAGCCCTCAAGAAGTCCCTAAACCCTAATCCCTAAACCCCAAACCCTAAAACCCTAAACCCTAAACCCTAAACCCTAAACCCTAAACCCTAAACCCTAAACCCTAAACCCTAAACCCTAAACCCTAAACCCTAAACCCTAAACCCTAAACCCTAAACCCTAAACCCTAAACCCACCCACCTCCCCCCCCTTGGGCCTTTGGGGCGTCGAGTTCGGAACTTCTTCTTTCGAGATTTACGTCGATTTGCGTCCTGTCTGGGGTTTAGGGCTTAGGGCTTAGGGCTTAGGGCTTAGGGCTTAGGGCTTAGGGCTTAGGGCTTAGGGCTTAGGGCTTAGGCTTTAGGGTTTAGGGTTTAGGGCTTAGGGCTTTAGGGTTTAGGGTTGGTTTGGGGCAGCCTACCTATGAAGTCCCCAAGTGCTAATACAGCCTATACTTTATGTTGCTCAACGACTTCAAAACCTAAACACTAAACCCAAAACCCCTAAACCCCTAAACCCCTAAACCCCTAAACCCTAAAACCCCTAAGCCCTAAAACCCCTAAACCCCTAAACCCCTAAACCCCTAAACCCCTAAACCCCCTAAACCCCCTAAACCCCTTAAACCCCCTAAACCCCCTAAACCCTACACCCTACACCCTAAACCCTAAACCCTAAACCCAACCTTAAAAGCCCATAACTAGGGTTTGGGGCTTTTGGGTTGTGGGTTTGGACTCTGCAGAGCCGCCTGGGTTTAGGGTTTAGGGTTTAGGGTTTAGGGTTTAGGGTTTAGGGTTTAGGGTTTAGGGTTTAGGGTTTAGGGTTTAGGGTTTCGCCTGAGGTAGAAGTGCAAGTCGCCTACCCCGTCAAGAAGACCCAGGCGGCATCCCATGAAGGGTTTCGAAGGTTCGGGGCCTTCAGGATTCTCCAAACCCTGAACCCTAAACCCTAACCCTAAACCCTAAACCCTAAACCCTAAACCCTAAACCCTAAACCTTTTTTGGGGCGGTGGTCTCTTTAAGTAGAGCCACTGCTTTAGAGGGGGCGTTACATTCTTGGTTCTTGTTAGGGTATCTAGGGGCTGTATTAAGGTATAAGGGTAACACATAAAGAGGCCACCGGGCTTTATCCTAAACCCTAAACAAACCCTAAATCCTAAACCCTAAACCCTAAACCCTAAACCCTAAACCCTAAACCCTAAACCCTAAACCCTAAACCCTAAACCCTAAACCCTAAACCCTAAACAAACCCTAAACCCTAAACCCTAAACCCAAAACAAACCCTAAGCCCGGCTTAGGGGCAAGTTTCATGGTCCAAGTATGGGCCCTTGGGTGTGTTTGGGGGCACGGACCCTTGGGTTTTTAGGCCATATCAGGGGTTTAGGGTTTAGGGTTTAGGGTTTCAGGATTTCTTTATGGTTTGCTGGATTATGGGGTTTAGGATTTTTTTTGCGGTCCTGTTGCAACAGGGTTCTAGGTTTAGGGGCCCCCAACCTAAGATTTTCTGACCGAGTAGATCGTGGGCCCTTAAGATGAATTTAGAATGGCCCGTACTTCCTCTCTTTCCGTGGCGACCGTCTGCTCTACAGGACATGGGGTATTGTCCGCGCAGTCCTCGAACACTCGTGCTTAAGACGTCTTTTGACAAGCGCCCTCGGACTCGGTGTGGATGGAGCCCCAAGAAACCCCCCAAAAACACATGCAAAACCTTATGGCTTGCAGCAGGGGCCTAGACCCTAAACCCGGTGGGCTGTATGAGGCCCTTAACGTGGTGGTTGGAAGACATGCAGCCCTTGCTTCGTAGAAAGAAGGCAGGAGAACCCCTAAGCCTTAAACCCCCGAACCATGATCTGAGATTTCCCTAAACCATACACCCTACACCCTACACCCTACACCCTAAACCCTAAACCCTAAACCCTAAACCCTAAACCCTAAACCCTAAACTGCAACACGCCGGCTCCCCTGAGCCTCTACAACCCCCTAAGACCACCAGAAAACTCGACCCCCCAAACCCTCGGCTACTAATTGTTGATTAGGGTTTGGGTCTCTTCCTTATGCGGGTAATAGGGAAATTATTGATTATTGTTTTGATTTTTGTTTTTTTTTTGGGGGGGGGGGGGGGCGGGGGGGGGGGGGGGAGGGGGGCTCGAAAGCAAGTAGGAGTGTAAACCGTAAACCCCCAACCCTGAACCCCAACCCTGATTCAGGGCTTAGACACCACCCCCACAAGCATTGCCAGACTGATGAAGCAGTGGGCCTAAACCCTAAACCCTAAACCCTAAACCCTAAACCCTTATTAGGGTTTGGGTCTCTTCCTTATACGGGCAATATGGGAATTATTGTTTTGATGTCTTTTTTTCCTTTTTATTTATTTATTTTTTTTTTTTTGGGGGGGGGGCTCGTAAGCAAGTAGGAGTGTAAACCGTAAACCCCCAACCCTGAACCCCAAGCCTGATTCAGGGCTTAGACACCCCACAAACATTGCCAGACTGATGAAGCAGTGGGGGGGGGGGGGGGGGGGGGGGGTAGGGTTTAGGGTTTAGGGTTTAGGGTTTAGGGTTTTTTTAGGGTTTAGGGTTTAGGGTTTAGGGTTTAGGGTTTAGGGTTTAGGGTTTAGGGTTTAGGGTTTAGGGTTTAGGGTTTAGGGTTTAGGGTTTAGGGTTTAGGGTTTAGGGTTTAGGGTTTAGGGTTTAGGGTTTAGGGTTTAGGGACTTTCTTAGTGGACTTGCTTGTCCAGCTTGCTTCTTTGGGGGAGGACAAGGTAGCGTAAGCCCAAGGCGCCGGTACGCTGAGCATCTCAAAGCAACATCTCAATCCCCTAAACCCTAAACCCTAAACCCTAAACCCTAAACCCTAAACCCTAAACCCTAACACACTAAACTCCGAAACCTTGGCAGGTAGTGATCTCTGCCGGAAGCGTCGTGGATTTCAGTGGAGTGCGGCACTCAAAGTCTGAGCGTAGGTTGGCAGGGTTTAGGGTTTAGGGTTTAGGGTTTAGGGTTTAGGGTTCAGGGTTTAGGGTTTAGGGTTTAGGGTTTAGGGTTTAGGGTTTAGCGTTGAGGGTGTGTGGCTTGCCCCTATCGTCACCCAGAACGGGCCTTGTGCCCCAAGTGTAAACCCTAAGCCTTAAACCCTTAACCCTGCCCTTAAAATCCTAAACTTTGGATCCCTTGACATACCCGACATACCCTAAACCCTAATTCCTAAACCCCAACAACCCAAACCCTCAACCCAAACCCTAAATCCCAAGCCGAAACCCTGTACAGTGTGGCATAAACCCCCAGCCTCAAAACCCCAAACCCCTACTGGACGGCTGCAGAAGTGTCGCGATCAACCTCGAAGGCCTGTTTCCCAAGCCTTGAGACCTAAACTCGAACCCTGATTTGGGCATGGGGTCTAGGGTAGAGGGTACAGGACTTAGGGTTTAAGGGTTTCGTTCGGGTTATTACATACATTCCTTGCTTTGGGGGTTGGGGCTCCACTTAGGCTGGGAGCCAGCTATAAGTGGTTGCCACCGGTCCCCGAAATAAGTGCTTCCTCCAAAATCACCCCTAAGGCCTAAACCCCATCACCCTATAACCCTAAACCCTAAACCCTAAACCCTAAACCCTAGACCCTAGACCCTAGACCCTAGACCCTAAACCCTAAACCCTAAACCCTAAACCCTAAACCCTGCCCTGGAACCTTAAACCCTCGGACCCACCTCAGGACGCCATCGTCAATGCCGCAAACCGGGGGGGCTTGGGCGGCGGGGGCGTGGACGGCGCCATCAACTCTGCAGGCCAGGGCCGTTTTAGGGTTTGGGGGTTTAGGGTTTAGGGTTGGGAGTCCAAGGCCATACTTGTTCCAAAGGAAGGCTATTAGGCAGCTAGAATAATCTTAGCTGCCCATGAATCACCAAGTCGGATTCCAGTCTCCCGGGTTTAGGGTTTAGGGTTTAGGGTTTAGGGGTTTAGGGTTTAGGGTTTAGGGTTTAGGGTTTAGGGTACTGTACCTACAGGACCTACAAGGCTCCTACTTTGGGTCGGGGGGGGGCATGAGCTCTTTGGGGACCCAGCACAGTATTGAATGGCAGTCATAAATAAATAGGCTAAGGGGCTAGGCTTGTAGATGTTTAGGATGTGCGAACAGGATGTGCGGCATTGAGATACAGAATGCCCCGAATCTAGAAGACATGAGGCTTACAATTAGGGTTGAGGGTTCAGGGTTTAAACCTGCGAAATTCCGCGCTTTGGCAACCGTGTGGAGTTCAGGATTCTGGGCAGTCACGTTGGCCCTGATTCTCTATATAGAGTAACGCCAGGTTAGACGACAGCAAGCTGTAAACCATAGCCCCAAACCCTAATCCACTCAACCCCCCGGCAAACACCAAAAAACCAGCCACAATCAACCCAGAAAGCCCAAAATCCTGAAGTCTCAGGGCCCAAAACCCCAAAAGGCCCTTTAGTTAGTATGAATTAAGGAATCCCGGCCCGGGGAAGGATTTTTTTTGTCTATGGGCCCTTTTGGGTAGGTCAGAACTTGGGGACGGCTGGGACAGCCCGAACCCCCCCCCTCCAATAGGGGGTCGGGGCGAAAACAAAAAACAATTGAGACGAGGGGGGGTGGTTATTAATTCGAGGTCAACATAAATCCTGAACCCCTAAACCCTAAACCCTAAACCCCTAAACCCCTAAACCCCTAAACCCCTAAACCCCTAAACCCCAAACCCCAAACCCCTAAACCCCTAAACCCCTAAACCCCTAAACCCCTAAACCCCAAAACCCTAAAAACCCTAAACCCTAAACCCCAAACCCTAAACCCTAAAAACCCTAAACCCTAAACCCTGAAAAACCCTAAACCTAAAGCCTAAACCCCAAACCCCAAACCCTAAACCCTAAACCCCAAACCCCAAACCCCAAACCCCAAACCCTAAACCCTAAACCCTAAACCCTAAACCCTACACCCGGGAGAGGCGGGCCCGAACTCATCGCCGCTCGCCGCGAGCTGCCGGTGCCCGGCTGGCCAGCAGTTTAGGGTTTAGGGTTTAGGGTTTAGGGTTTAGGGTTTAGGGTTTAGGGTTTCGGGTTTCGGGTTTAGGGTTCAGGGTGCAGGGTTTAGGGTTTAGGCCAACAAGTAAGAACCTTGTGGTCCCAACACGCGAAGTCCTAGACCCCAAACCCAGATGTCCAAAGCCCGAATCCGAACCCCACTTGATAGCTCAAACTTACCTTCTACCTAGTTTACTGTGACGGTCCCCTGTGAACTTGGTTGTCTCCTGTTTGGATCCTAGGACCCCTAGGACCCCTAGGACCCCTAGGACCCCTAAACCCTAAACCCTAAAATCTAAGCCCTAAACATGGGATTGTGTCATTTTTCTAAGGGGAGTCTACAAGTTTGAGTGCTAGGAGGAGGTCAGAAGCCAGGGGAGCTAAGATCCGCCACACCTGAGGTTGATGGTTTAGGGTTTAGGGTTTAGGCTTACAAGCCCCCTACGTCCCCTAAGTTGGTGATAAGTACAGGTATAATTCCGGTGTTATAAGTAACCTTGTACTTGGAGCAACTCTAGACTCTCAACCCTAAACCCCAAACCCCAAACCCCAAACCTTAAACCCTAAACCCTAAACCCTTGCACAGATCCTGGGGCCCTCCTGCGTGCAGACATTGCCCAGGTGCTTGACGACTCCGAGTACGGGGATCGAATTCGCACCGGAGAGGCACCAGAAATGCCAAACGTTTGGGTTTTAGGGCTAGGGTTTAGGGTTTAGGGTTTAGGGTTTAAGGTTTAGGGTTTCGGGCTTGGGGGTTTAGGGTTTAGGGTTTCGGGTTTATGGTTTGGGGTTTTGGGCCCTCTAAGCCACCCACATGGGCCCAGACCAGAGGGGGAGTCAGCCGAACATAGTTTGGAGATCGAGGCCTTGCTTCGGGACGCAGATGACTACGTGACGGCGATCCAAGAAGATGCTTCCCATGGCCATCGAAGTTGCGACAAGTAGAGATCTGGCTTTGAAGTCTCACGAGAAGCTGAGGGAGTTGGTCCGCTTGAGAGAATAGCAGACGCACGAAACTTCCACGCATGCTGAGTCGCTGGGCTTTGCACAAGCTTCCAGTGCATCCTCGAGCTTGGGGGCTTGGAAACTTCTCGGCGGCCGGTTCCGCTCGGAGAGGATTCAGACGAGTCCTCTGGCCAAGCGGCTTGCAGAGAAGCAATCAGCAGCGGAAAGCTGACAAACCTCTCTTGCACCCCTACGGTTGGCTTGTCAGGCCACACCAAAATAAAAGGCAATCCTAGGTTTAGAGGGTTGGAGGGGTTTACAGCGTTTAAGATAGGGTTGTATGCTGTTGAGGTTTATGGCTTTGCCTTTGACTCTGCCTGAGTTGATTCCACTCCTGTGAGCAGGACATGCGATGAGCCTCTACACCCTAAAACCTAAACCCTAAACCGTGTTTTCCGTTTCGAAGTGCATGTTCGCGACTACATGTCTACACCAAAAACTAGACCCGCAGGCCGCCCTGAGTTACAGGAGATGTCATGCCATTGCCTTGCCGACCCTGAACGCATAAGCCATACATGGAAGGCGTTGGGGTTTAGGTTTTAGGGGTTCAGTGTTTAGGGTTTTGGGTTTAGTCTAATTTACATGTTCCCTTAATGTGGTCCCTGACCCCCTTAAAGGGTTCTGAAGTACTAAACCCCAAAACCCCGTTTTGTTTTAACACCATTGGGAAGTTGCAAGGCTCGGGTGACGATCGGTGGCAAGCTTGCGGTGAAATGGGTCTAACCCTCAGCCGAAGGACTTGCCAGGTTTAGGGCTTCAGGATGCTAAGGGTATGTGGCTGTAATTGTATAGGGCTTAGGGGTTCAGGCGTTAAGGGTTTTGGGGTTTTAGTGTCTGAGGCCTAGCCCTGGCGCTTCGGAACAGTGAGCTGGGACGTTGAGGCGTTTTCGAGTATGTTTAGGGATTCTGTGGGCAGTTTTCGAGAGGCCCTAAACCCTAAACCCCTCTTCGATTTGGCGACCAGAGGTGAAGCAAAAGCACCCTAAACCCTAAACCACTTCTGGGAATTGCGCTCGGATCGCCTCCATGCCTGGGTTAGTGCCTTATAAAGCCTTAGGGTTTTCTACTAGTCGCTTAAGAACCCACAGAAAACACAAGATAATAACCCCTATATAGGGTTCGTTTCCGATGTTAGGGGTACCTTATTGGGGGTCCTTTTCACGGGGATCCTACTATTTGAGGGTCTATAATGCGGTCCCCTACTATCGTAATGTGCAAGCTCTTAGTAGCACAGCCACTGCTCTGCGCAACAAGTGCATCGGGACCAAAGATTCTGCCGAACTTCACATCCTCATCCGGGCATTGGCGCTTTGACGGTTACGCCCCAGATCCCTAAACCTCTGAATCCCTGAGCCCGCTAATGTTAACCTCAGATTTATCAATCCCCCCTCAATGAAGGAAGCCCAAGCCTGGAACTGAATTATAAAACCCCCCTCAACTAAGGAATCCCGGCCCGGGGACCAATTCTTTTTCTATGGGCCCTTTTAGGTAGGTCAGGACTTGGGGGCGGCTCGGGACAGCCCGACCCCCCTCAATAGGGGGTCGGGGCGAAAACAAAAAACAATTGAGAGGGGGTGGGGGTTATTAATTCGAGGTCAACATTAAGTCCCTCAATCCCGAAGCCCTAAATCCCTAAGCCCCTCAACAAGACATCCTTCAACCCTAAATTCCTAAAACCCTGAACCCCAAATCTCCAAACCCTAAAACCCCAAGCCCTATAAACCCCAAAACCCTAAATTCCCAAAACCCAAAACCCCAAATCTCCAAATTCCCAAAAACCCAAAACCCTAAATTCCCACAACCCTAAACCCCAAATCTCTAAACCCTACCCTAAACCCCAAATCTCGAAACCCTAAGCCCTAAGCACTAAACCCTAAACCCTAAACCCCAAATCTCGAAACCCTAAACCCTAAACCCTCCAGCCGTGAGCTTCAGGTGATCCACGCCGTGGGGCCCATCTACTGGGAGGTCGAAGGTCGACACGGGGGCCCGTAAGCACTAGAACCCGAACCCACCGTAGAGGTTTAGGGTTTCGGGTTTAGGGTTTAGGGTGTAGGGTTTAGGGTTTAGGGTTTAGGGTTAGGGTTTAGGGTTTAGGGTTTAGGGGCAGAGCCGCAAAACCTAGAATTCCCAGAGCCCTGCATCCCAATACCGTGAAGATTCGGGTTTTAGTTTCTTGGGTTACGGCGTTGTGTGTTTAGGGATATTCCCCCTGATACTAACAGTCCTTCATAGGGATGATAATTGCCTATTAAGGACTGTGAGTATAGGGGGGAAACTCCCAAGTTTAGGTTTTAGGGTTGTGCATGTCAATGAGCTTGGTATAGCTTGTGCTTCCCCGTGTTAGACTACAGAGGACATCATGTAGGAAGATGTCGGGGTTTAGGGTTTGGGGTTTAGGGTTTAGGGGCTTTACCCATCCAAGCTAGTGGAGGGTTCAAAGCCTTGGGTAGGCCATGAGGAGGTTCTATCACGCCTGTGGCCAAAGGGCTATCTTGGGACGGTGTGCGGAGAGCTCAGCTCTAAACCTGAGCAACTAGGACCCAGAGTAGGCCCTTATTATGTCTTTTAGGGCCTTCCCGAAACGGGCACCGCGTTGATTCCTAGGTTACTCTTGGACGTGGCCATGTGGGACGGTGAGCACGGGAAGTCGCGATGACGGATGGCGTCTGGAATGCATCACGCCCACGCAGATGCTGACACATGCTGAGGGGCTGAGTGACAGAGCGCAGGCTCCGAAGGTTTTCCAGGGCAGGGCCGACGTGAGCAGAGCTTTTAGGGTTTAGGGTTTAGGGTTTACGTAGGCTTGCCTTCATCTTTGCATGCCACGGCTGGACGATTTGGATGGCCGACGTGGATGCAGACCTTGAAGTGCAGCTGAAGACCAAACCAAGGCCTTAGATTTAGGGTTTAGGGTGTAGGGCTTAGGGTTTAGGGTTTAGGGTTGGCAAGGAGCTTGCGAAGGAAAGCAGATCTGAGAGTGTATGTGATTTTAGAATCTCACCCTTGAACCTCTGTTCACGATGTTTTTTGGTGAAGGCCCTGTTTCCCGGTTCACTCGATTAGCCTCCCGTGTAAACTCCTTGAAGCACACGAGGGAAAAACCCTTTATTCTAGGTTACAGTGGGACCGCGAATTCTACCGTCACACCCCGCGTACCCTGTGAATCCTAAACCCCAAGAGCCCTTAACACCCAAACTCCAAAGCCCGAAGCGCGAAACCCAACTTCGCAGCCACACCCCAGCTTGCTTGGCCAATCGTTGAGCGTTAAGCTTTTTGGGTTTCCTGTTATATAGTAGGGACAGTAAAGCTTAAAACGTTCTCCCTAGCTTTTGGGGAAATTCGGAAAACCTTCGGCACTTCTTGGCAAGGCGACGATTTCAAAGCTGCGGATGACCTGCTCTACGCTGCCTACGCCCCTTCGGTGGCAATGTTGGGAACCTCGCTTGGGTTTAGGGTTCAGGGTTTAGGGACAATAATCCCTTTTTACCCCTATAAATCAGGATTTGTTTTGTTTGTGGCGTGTTGTTATTCAAATTAGGGTTACTGTCAAGGTTTTAGGGCTACTTAGGAGGACTTAGTAGGTAGTTGTTAAGTAGGGCAAGGTTTCCAAGACATTGGCTTCAAAGGGTCCGAGGGTTTAGGATGACCCTAAACCCGAAACCCTAAACCCTAAACCTAAATCATGGGCCTGGTGGTCCCCGAACTCCAAGCAGTATACCGGGTTTAGGGTTTAGAGTTTGTGGTTGAGATTTCAGGGTTAAGGGTTGAGGGGTTAGGGTTCAGGGGTTGAGGGTTTAGGGTTCAGGGGCTTCTCCCCTCATTGGGTACCTGGATCAAGTACCGAAAGGAGAACTACTTGGAAGTTTTCTTTCTCAAAACACTAGACTGAAAAATGGCCTCAACCATAAGCCCTAGCCTAAACCCTGGCTCATGTAGCCGGCGACTGAAACGCCTAAACCCTAAACCCGATACCCTGAACCCTATATAAACCTTAAACCTTGATCGAGTGGCTGAGGCCAGCTCCCTGAACATCGCCAAGGAGAAGGAGGCGGGGCCCTGGGGGTTAGGGTTCAGGGTTTTGGATTTCAGGCTGGGTTTAGGGTTTCGGGTTTAGGGTTTGGGGCTTGGGCTTTTTGGAGGTTGCCTGGTTGCAAAACAATTTTCGAGGTTCGGGATGCGCGGGTTTGGCGGCGCCCGAAAGCAAGGCGAGCCCTAAACCTTAAACCCTAAGCCCTAAACCTTAAACCCTAAGCCCTAAACCCTAAGCCCTAAACCCTAAACCCTAAACCGTCCAGCCCCTGAGGGTTCATAGGGCTCAGGGCCCAAGGCCGCTCGAATCTGTAGTATCCACAAGCTTCCGCAAAGTTCCTGTCCATTCTCGCTCATCCAGGGTGTAGGGTTTGGGGTTGAGGGTTTAGGGTTAGGGTTTAGGGTTTAGGGTTTAGGGTTTAGGGTTTAGGGTTTAGGGTTTAGGGTTTAGGGTTTAGGGTTTAGGGTTTAGGGTTTAGGGTTTAGGGTTTAGGATTAGGGGGGTTAGGGTTTAGGGTTTAGGGCTTAGTAGAGTGAATCACCTTCCATTTGCGCAAGCCCCAAGAGTCAGTGCAGACGTGGAAGCTTCCCTGAAACCTTTAAGCGACAGCTCCCAGAGCCGTTGAAGCCCTTATGGTTCCCTTATCAGCCCCCTTCAAGCACAGGGCAACCTTCATATTCCCAAACTACTCTGTCTAGATACTTAGGGCTTAGGGTGTAGGGTTTTAGGGTTTAGGGTTTAGGGTTTAGGGTTTAGGGTTTATTTGAGCCCTTAATCTGGTCCCTATTATCTCCTTTAAAGGGTTCTGAGGGACGGGGCCCCTGGGTTCCCCCAAGATTGATCCTGCACAGCCTACAGCCGCACCCCCTTCCCCCCCCCCCCCCTCCAAACCCCCCCAAGCCCTACAGCCCTTTGACCCTCCTAAACCCTAAACCCTAAACCCTAAACCCTAAACCCTAAACCCTAAACCCTAAACCCTAAACCCTAAACCCTAAACCCTAAACCCTAAACCCTAAACCCTAAACCCTAAACCCTAAACCCTAAACCCACCCCCCCTAACCTTCAATGCCTACGCCATGAGGGCTTCATGTTTAGGGTTTAGGTAGGGTAACTGCGCGCCAGGTCAAGTCCTTGGCGTTTTGCCTCCTGCGACTTGCCACATCAGGGCTTGCGGTAGTCTTTTCAATGCGATACCGGCCCTAAACCCTGAACCCTAAACCCTAAACCCTAAACCCATAATCCCTCAACCCCTAAAACCCCCAACCACCACTCTCTTCCCCACCCAAACTTCCCAAAATCAAGGGGGGCAGCCTTGCCAGCAGGGCATTTTTTGAGGGTTAGGGTTTAGGGTTTAGGTTTAGGGTTTAGGGTTTCGGGTTTCGGGTTTAGGGTTTAGGGTTTAGGTTAAGGATTCAGCAGAGCTGCGATGCGTCCCTGTTCCTCCCTTAGGGTGGGAACCTGGCCGGGTCGATGCCATTTTCGTTTCGCCTGAAACCCTGAACCTAGGACCGGGAGTAGGCCCTTATTTCCTTTTTTAGGGTTGGGGTTCAAGTGTAATCCCCTTAAACCCAAAAGAGTACCCTTTTCATTCCTAGGTTACTCCTGGGTTTTTCCCTACCATTTTCTGAGCCGGCCAGAGTCTAATAATTTCTTCTTCAACAAAACTTCTTGTCACGAGGGCTCGACCCTACTTGGAGTCACCTTTCTACCCTGCAAAATGGTGAAATCTACGTTTAATCCTCGGGAGTTTCAGCCCTCAAGGTCACTCTTCAAGTAGCCCCAAACCCTACACCCTAAGCCTTAAGCCCTAAGCCCAAACCCTAAACCCTAAACCCTAAACCCTAAACCCTAAACCCTAAACCCTAAACCCTAAACCCTAAACCCTAAACCCTAAACCCTAAACCCTAAACCCTAAACCCTAAACCCTAACTCACCCTCAATCCGCACACCCCGGAGTGCAAAGGTCGGCAGGAATCTTCCGCGGGGAGCGGGCGCTTTCGGCCGTGCTGGAGATTGGATGCCAGGCTTCCACCGCTCGTTTAGGGTTTAGGGTTTAGGGTTTGAGGTTTAGGGTTTAGGGTTTAGGGGATTTCGGTGCGCCGTCGAGTTTAGGGGGCTTTGAGGGCTTTAGGGTGTTGGGGTTTTGGTTTTTGTTTGGGGGGTAATTTAAGAGCCTCCGGCTCAAGCCGCCGACCCCGCTGGAGCATAGTTGAGAGGTCTAAACCCGCTCGCATGGTTCGAAGATCATCCCAACCTGCTCGGCAGAGTTCTGTGAAACGTTTGGGGGGGGGTAGGGGGTAGCACCAGGACAAGCTCAGGCCGGGGCGGCGGTGGGTGGGGGTGGGGGGGGGGGGGGGGGGGGGGTGTGCAGCTTAAATAGGGTCTATTTGGAAGCTGAGACTCGTGTTTTAAAGAGGAAATAAGGCCCCAAAACGTATACTTATTTACAAGAGACAACTTCCAAATAGACCCTATTATCGTTTCTGGTGGGTCTGGGGCAAGGAATTAAATAATTTAAATAATTTAAATCCGAAAGGGGCGTTCCGGATTTAAATTATTTAAATTAATTAAATCTGGGAGGGGGAGGGGGCCTGGGCCTGGCCCCCCCCCCCTTTTCGGATTTAAATTATTTAAATTATTTAAATTATTTAAATTATTTAAATTATTTAAATTATTTAAATTATTTAATTCCGGGGGGGGGAATTAAATAATTTAAATAATTTAAATCCGAACCCCCCCTTTCAGATTTAAATTATTTAAATTATTTAATTCCCCCCCCGGATTTAAATAATTTAAATAATTTAAATAATTTAAATAAATTAAATCCGAAAAGGGGGTGGGGGGCGGGCCCAGGCCCCCTCCCCCTCCCAGAAATAAATAATTTAAATAATTTAAATCCGAAAGGGGCGTTCCGGATTTAAATTATTTAAATTACTTAATTCTGGGAGGGGGAGGGGGCCTGGGCCTGGCCCCCCCCCCCCTTTTCGGATTTAAATTATTTAAATTATTTAAATTATTTAAATTATTTAAATTATTTAATTCCGGGGGGGGGGGACATTAAACAATTTAAATAATTTAAATCCGAACCCCCCTTTTCAGATTTAAATTATTTAAATTATTTAATTCCCCCCCTGGAATTAAATAATTTAAATAATTTAAATAATTTAAATAATTTAAATAATTTAAATCCGAAAAGGGGGGGGCCAGGCCCCACCGGGCCCCCTCCCCCTCCCAGAATTAAATAATTTAAATAATTTAAATCCGAAAGGGGTGTTCAGGATTTAAATTATTTAATTCTGGGAGGGTGAGGGGGCCCGGTGGGGCCTGCCCCCCCCCCTTTCGGATTTAAATTATTTAAAGTATTTAAATTATTTAAATTATTTAAATTATTTAAATTATTTAAATTATTTAAATTATTTAATTCCGGGGGGGGGAATTAAATAATTTAAATAATATAAATCGAACCCCCCCTTTCAGATTTAAATTATTTAAATTATTTAATTCCCCCCCCGGAATTAAATAATTTAAATAATTTAAATAATTTAAATAATTTAAATAAATTAAATACGAAAGGGGGGGGGTGGGGCAGGCCCCGGCCCCCTCCCCCTCCCAGAATTAAATAATTTAAATAATTTAAATCCGAAAGGGGCGTTCCGGATTTAAATTATTTAAATTATTTAATTCTGGGAGGGGGAGGGGGCCTGGGCCTGGCCCCCCCCCCCTTTTCGGATTTAAATTATTTAAATTATTTAAATTGTTTAAATTATTTAAATTATTTAAATTATTTAATTCCGGGGGGGGGAATTAAATAATTTAAATAATTTAAATCTGAAAGGGGGGGTTCGGATTTAAATTATTTAAATTATTTAATTCCCCCCCCCCGGATTTAAATAATTTAAATAATTTAAATAATTTAAAAAATTTAAATAATTTAAATAATTTAAATCCGAAAAGGGGGGGGGGCAGGACCGGGCCCCCCCCCTTCCCAGAATTAATTAATTTAAATAATTTAAATCCGAAAGGGGCGTTTCGGATTTAAATTTTTTAAATTATTTAATTCTGCGAGGGGGGGGGGCATCATCATTTTCATCTTTTTCGTCATCTCCTTAATATCCTTTTTTTCCTTCATCTTCATCATCTCCATCATCTCCATCATCTTCATCATCTCCTTCATCTCTTTCATCTCGCTGAGCTCGTTGAACTCTATCATCTTCATCTTTATCATCTTCTTCATCTCCCTCATCTCCCTCATCTTCATCATCTGCTTCATCTCCCTCAGCTCGTTCATCTTCTTCGTCATCTTGCATCATCTTCTTCATCTTCCTCATCTTTCATCATCTTCTTCATCTCCATCATCTCCCATCATCTTCAGTCTGAAAAACTCAAACATTCACCACCGTTCGCGGGGGGCTCCGCCCCCTCTGGATCGAGGGCTTGCCCCCCTCGAGCTCCCCCCTTCCCCTCAAGGCCCCCCAGGGGGCGAGCAGGGGGGAGACCCCCCCGCTACGCCCCCCCCCCCCTCATAAACTGAAACTACTAGACCCATAAACCCAAAAATCCCCAAACCCTTAAACCTCTCAATTTAGTGCATAAGCATGCGTCATTCGCAGGGTGTGCTCCTCGCGGGGGTGGTGGTGGTTGCCGTTAGAAACCAAAAAAATCAGGTTAACAAAATGGGGCTTTTCTTTTGTGGTATTGTCTGGTGGTGGTGGTGGTGGTGGTGGTGGTGGTGGTGGTGGCCGTTCAAAACCAAAAAATGAGGTTAACAAAATGGGGTTATTTTTGGGTGGTATTGTCTGGTGGTGGTGGTGGTGGTTGCCGTTTGAAACAAAAAATGAGGTTAACAACATGGGGCTTTTTTTGGTGGTATTGTCTGGTGGTGGTGGTGGTGGTCGTTCAAAACCAAAAAATGAGGTTAACAAAATGTTTTTTTTTTTTGGTGGTATTGTCTGGTGGTGGTGGTGGTGGTGGTGGTCGTGGTGGCCGTTCAAAACCAAAAAATGAGGTTAACAAAATGGGGCTTTTCTTTTGTGGTATTGTCTGGTGGTGGTGGTGGTGGTGGTGGCCGTTCAAAACCAAAAAAATGAGGCCCCCAGGGGGCGAGCAGGGGGAAGACCCCGGAAAGGGTAGGAACAACATTTAAGAGGTCAAAATTTGCCGGGATTCCCTTGGCACCGTGCACATGGCCTGCAAATACCACACAAAACCGGAAAGGGTAGGAACAAAATTTGCCGGTCAAAATTTGCCGGGATCCCCTTGCATGGCACCCTGCAGAAGTCCTGCAAATACCACACAAAACGGGAAAGGGTAGGAACAACATTTGGGGGTCAAAATTTGCCGGGATCCCCTTGGCACCGTGCACATGGCCTGCAAATACCACACAAAACCGGAAAGGGTAGGAACAACATTTGCCGGTCAAAATTTGCCGGGATCCCCTTGGCGCCCTGGAAAAGTCCTGCAAATACCACACAAACAGGGAAAGGGTAGGAACAACTTCGCGGGTCCAAATCTGCCGGGATCCCCTTGGTGCCCTGGAAAAGTCCTGCAAATACCACACAAAACGGGAAAGGGTAGGAACAACATTTGCCGGTCAAAATTTGCCGGGATCCCCTTGGCACTCTGCAAAAGTCCTGCAAATACCACACAAAACGGGAAAGGGGTAGGAACAACATTTGGGGGGGCAAAATCGCAAGCCCTGCTCCCTAAGATTTGGTCCCTAAGATGTTAGGTTCAAGTTTTCCTCCAAAAAGCCAAATCGCAAGCCCTGCTCTCTAAAATGTTGGGTTCAAGTTTTCCTCCAAAGAGACAAATCGCAAGCCCTGGTCCCTAAGATTGTGGGGTCATTCTTTGCTCCAGCGAGTCAAATTCACAAGTCCTGGTACCTAAGATTTGGGGTGGCTCTTTGGAGGAAAACTTGAACCCACAATCTGCGGGACCAGGGCTTGCGATTTGACTCTTTGGAAGAAAACTTGAACCCAAGTTTTTCGGGACCAGGTGGACCAGGGCTTGCGATTTGGCTTTTTGAAGCAAAACTGGAAGCCAAAATCTTAGGGGCCGGGGCTTGTGATTTGGCTCTTTGGAGGAAAACTTGAACCCCAAATCTTAGGGACCAGGGCTTCCGGTTTGCCCGCAATCTTAGGGACCAGATTTGGGTCTTTTGAGGAAAACTTGAACCCAAAATCTTAGGGACCAGAGCTTGCGATTTGGCTCTTTGGAGAAAGCTTGAACCCAGCATCTGCGGGACCAAGGCTTGCGATTTGGCTCTTTGGAGGAAGACTTGAACCCAAAATCTTAGGGACCAGGGCTTGTGATTTGGCTCTTTGGAAGAAAAATTGAACCCAAAATCTTAGGGACCAGGGCTTGTGATTTGTCTCTTTGGAAGAAAAATTGAACCCAAAATTTTGGGGACCAGGGCTTGCGATTTGGCTGTTTGGAGCAAAACATGACCCCACAATCTTAGGGACCAGGGCTTGCGCTTTGACTCTTTGGAGGAAAACTTGAACCCAAAATGTTAAGCACCAGGGCTTGCGATCTGACTTTTTGGAGGAAAACTTGAAGCCAAAGTTTCAGGGACCAGGGCTTGTCATTTGGCCTTTTGGAGCAAGACTTGAAGCCAAAGTTTTAGGGAGCAGGGCTTGCGATTTGGTTTTTTGGAGCAAAACTTGAAGCCAACGTTTTAGAGAGCAGGGCTTGCGATTTGGCTCTTTGATGTTCTTTGGAGCAAAACTTGAACTCAAAATCTTAGGGACCTGGGCTTGCGATTTGACTGTTTGGAGCAAAGAAATGACCCCACGAAACCTTGAAAGAAAAGGTGCTCTTTGTTCACTCTCACCTTTCGTTCGTTTCATTTTCTGAACGCTTTAATTTGAGTATGAATATCTAATGTAATATGTAAAGAGGGGTGTCCAAGTTTTTTTTGAGTGTTTCGGGTGTCCTTTTCCTTTTTTGTAGCGAAATATTAAATATACACCCGCGCCGGAGATCTTGTTTTTGGAAACCTTGAAAGAAAAGTGCTTCTTTGTCC